CCAGGAAGAGTGGCTTGACGATCTTGTAGAAGACCAGGAATGCGGCACAGAAGAGGAATGCAACCAGTGCCTGGACCCAGGCACCGTCGATGTTGAGGGTGCTTCCAATTGAGGCAAAGAAGTCGGTGAAGAAGCCTAGGAACGTGTACATGAAGATTGTCATCAGGAAGACGACGCCAACACGCTCCTGGACGATTCCAGCGAAGTTGAGTCCTCCTGCAAAATGCAGAAAGAGCAGCAAATAGAGCATTTCAAGGTTGAGGATTCTGAAGATGCCCGACCTCTCTGCTGCCGCCTCTCCTGCCTTGATTGACGAGGCACAGAGATTCATGAAGTTGACTTCGTAGGACGTGAAGAAGCCGACTGAGTCACCTGCTGCCCGTACGCCTGATACAAATTGTGTGAACATATTGTACGAGTCTATACCATTTTATATCAATGTGAAACAGTTTGAAATTTTACTTGTTTACTGGTAGAATGACTGTCTGATAGATTGGATTTCCTGCCAATATTTCATTTAACAAGAATGGCCTCATTCTACGTGTGTTGTAGTGTTTGATTGATCTCTTTAGCACCAAATCCCTGAGAACACACAGTGCCAGTACACCACAGTCGTGGTGATTGCACTCAAATTCAGGCCACTGTTTGAATCCAATATTCTCTGTGTTTTCCGCCCCTAGAAATGCAGATAGCATCCTCCAATTCAGGTGATCGTTCAAATTTGGCCTATGATAAAGATGCACCTTCATTGCTACTGAATCGTAAATTGTCGTCCTCTTTTCCTTCTTATTGTAGTGCATCACAAACCAGTGTAATCCGTGCTCTGTAAGTGGCATCGTGAAATAGATGTCATCCATTTTGGACATTGCTTCGTATAACTGATGCATATTGCGCATTGGTCTTTTTGATCCATCCTCATTTTGATCACAGAAGAATGTCTCGCCTGATTCACTGAATAGCATTTCCAGTAGACACTGTTCATCTTTAGTTGGCTTACTATCTTTATTGTGTTCTTTGTTATCAATGCTTCTTATGCTCCCAACATTGTATTTCATGTAGCATGCGCATCCCAGGTTTACAATTAGCCTGTTTTCACCACAATGCTGATTTAATACCTTTTTGATGTACAAATCAATGACATATTGAGTCAGATCCTCTTTCCTGTTTACAAATGATAGAATATCTATCTCATTGTGTGCGTCACCTTTACCAATTAATCCACAAAGAAGCGTAGTCATTTCTCCAAGGAATAATTCTGGGTTTTTGATTGGAATATCAGTGAATGATTCAGCAAAATCATTATCATCTCTTGGCTGAAATAGATCATTAAGAATCAATTCTGGTTCAGGGTGTGGATTGTGCACCTGAGTGGGGCTGTTCGCTCTGAGAGGCCTTTCTCTTTCAGTTGCAGCGTAGCATGCTCTACCGTAGTACAATAATGCACAATTCCATTTCAATACTTGATTTACACCAAACATCAGGATCAAACAAACAAACAATTAATAGTTGATTACGACACATTTGATTGATTTGTTATTGTCAGATAATAAGTGCAATATACTACAACTGGAACTATAATTAATCTGATTTGATCCCTAACAAATATCAATTTGTTTTCTTGCTATTTTACATTTCAGGCAAGTGATGATTAATGTAAATCATTTGTTCTGCATACAATTCATGTAGCAAAAATGGTCTCAATTTCTTTACATCGTATCTTTTGACTTCTCTTTTCAGTATCAGCTCCCTTAGAATTCCAAGTACTTGAATCCCACAGTCGTTTACACCTTGCTCAAATTCAAGATCATGGCAGAATGCGACATTCCTATAGTTGTCTCCTCCCAATAATTTCATCATCAGATTCCATTTGATGTAGTTGTTCATGTTTGGTTGCTCGTGAAGACTCTGTTTCACATCTTTTGAATCGTAGATCGTTGTCCTTTTTTCACGCCTATCAAAATGCATCAAATACCAATGTACTCCTGTTGCCGTCATTGGATGTATGAAATAGATGTTGTCCTTCTCTCTAAACTTATCACAAAGAGCATCCATACTCTTCAGTCGGCAGGTAGTTCCATCTTTTTTGTAATCCGCAAACTGCATATTTCCTGATTCACTGAGCAACAAGTCCAATAAATGATTCTCTTTCGCATTTGACCTCTTGACAACTTTTCTCCGCTTGCTCTTTCGAGCAATATCCATTTCCTTTTCATACTCGTCCATTGGTTTGATAGCATCCTCATTCTGATTTAAAATGATCATACATCCAGAATTCACAATCATGTCATTACTACGCATGTATTTGCTTAACACATTTCTAACGTACGCATCAATGGCGTATTGTGTGAGTTCTTCGTCATTTAGAAATGAGTTCGCGTCTTCTTGTTTGATTTGAGTTGTACATTCCTCAGTTTTGGATTTGATCAGTGGAATCAGATCTCTGGCGTATTCACTGATGTTCTTGATTGGTGATTTGTAGTATTTTTCAGAGAACTCATCGGCATCTGCTGGGCTGTTTAGGTCACTGATGTTTAAGGTAGGTTCATTGTAGTGTATTATTTCTTCCACTAATGAAGCTGCATGGCTTGTACTTGCTGTTGCACAGTCTGCTAGGTGAAAGAATATCACTGCATTGTGAAGCAATGACTTAACGGATCCAAACATGGATACAAAAAACAAACAACTGATTTGTATTTGTTTGATCAATTTTATTGTTTCTGTTAGCAGAAGACCAAATTTAAATAAACCTGTAACTAATCATGTTAACTTAAGCAAATACAACAGTTTAATTGAATATGTTTAGAATAATGAAACATCATAAAAATCCATTTTATTGATCACCGTTCTTGGTGTTCGATAAGTGGTAGGTTGTAATCTCGATATATCATTTCTCCTGATATAAGTTCGTGTAATAGAATTGTCCTCATATTCATCATATTGTGCTTCTTAGCACATCTTCCTAACATCATGTCCCTAATAAATGATAAAACCAGTACACCACATTCACTTGTATTCTCATTCTTAAATCCCCTATCAATTGTATTATTGATATGTACGATGTTCTCATTCCCTACAATATATGAGAGTGTACGCAACTTGACATATGGACATGCTAACTTCTCCAAATAATGGGATTGTAATTTGGCTCCATCATATAACGTGATAGATTTTCTTTCCCTATTGAAGTGTGTCATATACCAGTGATATCCTTCTTTTGTAAGTGGCATCATGAAAAATATATCATCCATACCGTCTATATACCCCCTGAACTCCTCTTTACTTTCCAATGGAACCCTTTTACCTTCGTGATCCATTTTGTAGAAAAATGCTTCATTTGCAAGTATGAAAAGCAATTCTAGAGCAGGGATTTGTCGTTCTAGTAAAATGTCAAATTCACTGAGCCCGTCTTCTTGATTCGGCACCATCTCATTAATCATGTGAAGTACACAATCTGAATTTATGATCAATTTTCGAGCATGGCATTGTGGTTTCAATACTCTTTTAACATACATATTCATTGCTGTACTAGTCAACCATGCTTCAAACCCAAATGATCGCATATCTTCTGCCTTATAATTGCACTGTGGTTCATCCTTCATTTTCATGCCCATCATACAAGCAAGAAATGATCCAATGTTACGAATTGGTTTGCTTTGATATTTTGATTCAAAAGTGATATCAAGCCAAGCTCTGGGTAAATCATGAAGAGACAAATGTGGTTCTGGGAGTGGTTCAAAGCCTTCAGTAACTGAAACTGCTGCCATTCGAGTGGTTAAATCATCAGCGCCTCCTTCTGCAGCAGATATCATCGAAATGAAAATCAACAAAATGATTTCCATCTTATTGCGTATCAGGATTAGTAAATTTTTATTGTGTGTTTTTAATTTAATAGTTGATCATTTTATCAGCACATAATAAGCGTATCTGAACACATATTTAGTCAGCTGTCTTTTCTGCATTCGCATCTTTCAACTTCAACTTGTCACCCAAGTAATCCTCATTAATATATTTTGTCTGATAAATGAAGCATCCCAGTGCCACAGCTGCCCACACCAATGTCACAAAGTTCCAGCCAATGGTGTATCCAAGTCCATAATTCGCTATTGAGTAGATGAAATTGGTATATGCATTGCTTCCAAGCAATTTGAATATTGTAACCAGCATCAGCAATGATCCGTATGAGGCAAATATAGCACAGAATCCAAATTCATAGGTGGCCTTAAATATCCTGTACGTTCTATATGCCAAATAGAACAGAAGCAGTGCTATTACAACACATAGGAACCTGGTGACGTAAATTGGCGCCCTATCAATCAGATATCCCTCTATCAAATCATCAATCTGATCAATAATCAGTGCTATGAAGACCCATATCACTGCTATCTTCAGTAAAGTGTACAAAATGAATACCAGTGCACCCACTATCATTGACACTATTGAGATTATCTTGTGAATTGTGGCCGTGCTAAAAAATCGACTTAGCAAGTTGACTATTCGTTGGAATTTGGTGAAGAATGAATAGACAACCATGCTGATGAGCATTGCGACTGGAATGCGTTCGAAATGTGTTCCATGAATAGCAATGAAGTAGATCACAAAGGTGGAGAAGAAGAGTACAAGCATATCAGTGCTAAATAGCCCCCAAAACAAACCTACCTCGTCTATTTTGCTTCCCAGGGCCTCAACCAGTTTGTCCTGCTTTAGTGCAGTAGAACACATGTTCATCTTCAGCTTGTCCAGGAGTGAGCTGCATGCCCCAATTTGGAATAAGAGGATCACAATGATCATTTTAGGTGAAACAACCCTGAAATAATTAAAGCTGTGTCAAATTGTAAACCTGATATTTATTCACTACGGTTGGGAAATGCTTTTTAAAATTTTACCCCAATGAGCACAGATGTCATTTTGAATAAGGACCAGTTCTATAGACGAGCTGAGAAGATTAGGAAACACGTGAGTGACCCATTGGTCATCATGCTTGGAAAGCGTGCTGATGTAGAGGAGTTTGCGCTGAACTCAGCACTCTTCAACTACCTTCTTGGCTTTGAATTCAGCGAGACTGTCATAATTCTGAAGGAGGTACCAGTCATATTCACGTCGCAAAAGAAGGCTGAAATTCTGGCACAGCTTGGGACGAACGTCACCTTGGTCAGAAACAACTCCAAGGAGAATCCACTCTGCCATTCTCAATTTATTTCTACCCTGACTGAAAACTACTCGATTGTAGACCGGGAGAACATCAAGGGTGATTTTTGTAGCACAATTTTGAATGGAATTAGGTTTAAAGAGGTAACTGAAGAAATACTACGCATATTCACTGAGAAGGAGGAAGATGAGATTACGAATGTGTTGAAGGCTGGAACAGTCTGTAACAACCTTATTAAGAAGGCTATTGACATGTGTAGGGACGAGGAATTCAGTAAGGAGGCTGTTGAAAGATGCATGGACTCAAAAATAGGTGGAATAGACCCAACTGCAATTGAATTCAGCTATAACCCAGAACACAGCTCAAATGGCGTTAGACTTGGAATCAGGTACAGGGGATACTGTGCAGAGATAGGACGAGGATTCATGGACGACTTCTCTGCAGAATACGAGATACAGAAATACGCCATATCGTTGGTGAGGGTAGGAGCCAATTCAGCTGAAATATTGCAGGGAGCCAGGGACTTCGTTGAGGAGAAAGGGCTCAATTTGAAGATAAAAATGAGTACAGTTGGATTGATGGCTAAAGAAATGAATTTCAAGAGCAATTTTGAGCTGAAGAATAACACGGTGTTTGTGATGCGTGTTGGTGACTGGTTGACGAATACGTTCATATTGACTGATGTAGTTGAGTACGTGACAACTAAAGACAGTCACATGGAGTACACCTTGCAGCGGATGAAGTTCAGAAACAAGACCAATGAGAACGAGGTGAGACAGAGAATCAAGGAGCACCAGAAGGAGCTGCTAGACAATTTGATAACGAATATGGCTGAGAAATATAGGAAGTGTGACAAGGAGGAGACAGAGACAGTGTCAAAGGTAATCAGGTATCCAAATGACTCGGCTGTGCCAAGAAACAAGCACGTGAAATGCGACTTCGATTCGCTCTACGTTTTGGTTCCAATTTTGGGGTATTCGATTCCATTTCACATTTCACTGATAAAAAATGCAGCAGTATCAAATGAGACCAAATTGAGAATTAACCTAAAAGACAGCAAAGACATCAAGACACTCAGAGGAGAGACGAAGAAGTGGGATACGCAGTTCAAATCGATCAGTGTGACAATTAGAAACGCAGAGGAGGTGTTGGCAGAGATCAATGAAATGAAGCGTATTTACAATAGGCCATTTGTGCCTGTGAATAAGCAGGGGGCATTGAAAGAACGGGCCAGGAAGGTGTTTCTTTACAACCTGTTGGTCAAAACAGACCACAAAATTGTCTCTAAGAAGAACATCTACAATCTTGAGTTACATGAAAATGGATTCAAATATGGGGATACACACTTTCTATTCAGTAACATCAGGTGCATATTCTATCAGTTAGGAGACTTCGAGAAGATTCCACTGATCCATTTCAACCTCAAGGAGCCAATCATGCTCACAGACAAGCCAACTTACAACTTACAGTTCTTCAAGAAACAGGGCCTGAACTACGATGACATCACCAAGCGAGAGAACGAGCACATGGCAATGATTCGCCAACAGGAACAGGAAGACGAGCTCTACAGAACAAACAGGGAGTTCACAAACTACATTCAGCAAATTGAGAGTGAAACAAGCTTCAGGCCACAGGGGCTAACGAAGACATTCATGGGCGTCTACCACAAGGAGTCTGCCTCCATTTCAATGACAAGCGATGCCTTGGTCTCTGTTCACGACACACCGTATCTCGTTGTCTACATTGATGAGATTGAAATAGTCAACTTTGAGCGAGTCACCTACGTAACCAAGACATTTGATTGTGTCATGGTCTTCAAGGACAAGAAGAGGCAGCCACTGGTTCTAAGTGCCATTGAAACAACCAAATTGAACTACATCAAGGCTGCCTTTGATTCAGTCAATATTGTCTTTATGGAAACCAGAATAAGCATAAACTGGAATAACCTGATTGCTACGATCATGAAGGATCCACTTGGATTCTACGAATCTGGTGGCTGGACTGAGTTGCTGCTTGACGAGCCAGAGGAGGCCTCGTCCGAGACTGAATCAGGCACAACAATCAGCTCCTCGATCGAAAGCGAATCGGAAAGTGACGATGATGATGGCATAAGCAGTGATGCATTCAGTGAGAGTGTTGATAGTGACACCGTATCCAGTTCATCATTCATAGCAAGCGACTCTGAAGACTACGAAGAAGAAAAGAGAAGGAGGAGATAAATTAAGTCAATAATTATTTGTGTAGGCTGTATCTGTATTATAGGTGTCTAAGACACTATCCTTATGAACGAACCTAATACTCTACGAGATGTTTTTAGTAGGTTATTCGTATAATCTTGGTCTATAAAAAATATGAACAAGATATGATTGATCTAACCCACATGAAAAACGGCATAAGCATCTGTATTCTTCTGGTTGGAATCTGTATCATAATAGGATGTGGCATTGGTACATTAATATACATAATTGAGCATAAAGAAGAGAGTAAAACTAAGAAAAGTGCACCAGAATCAAAACAAGACGAAAAATCAAAGACAGAAGAGACACCGAAAACAGAGACAAAGCCACAAGAATCGCCAAAGCCGAAGCCAAAACCAAAGCCAAAATTGAAGCCAAAGATAAAATCAACAACAAAACCACGACCTAAGCAAAGAAGGAAACCAAAAACTGTACAAAAACTCAAATCACAACCGGAAACATCACCAAATTCAAGGCCATCGAGAAAACCAGGACCAAGAAGGATCATACCACCAAAAGAAACATCCAAATCAACAACTATAAAAATCAAAGATCGTGATAAAACCCCAATAGAAACAAATCCACAGAATGTAAATCCAATTCAAGCAAATCCCAAACCAATACGTGAATCACCAGTAGAATCGCCAGTAGAATCGCCAATACGTGAATCGCCAGTAGAATCACCAAGTAGACAATCTGAACCTATAAAACAGTGGTGGGAACGAAAGGAGTTTATGGATAGTTTAGCACGCAAACCAATCAGAAGAACTAGAGAATCAGAATCAAGTGAGAATTAAGAAATGAACTAAATAGAAATGTAATCATTCTTATTAATTGTTGTAGAAATACACATTTGAGTCTTTGCTTACAGCAACTACAGTTCCCTTGCTGTAATCGAAATCGTATATTTCATCCTTGGTAACAAATTCACAGACTCGCTTATTCTCACTCGGCCTGTAGTATTTCACAATTCTATCCTTACCAATTGATATGACCAGATCATTGAAATATTTCACCCTGTATACAAAATCAACATGATATTGCGTAAACAGCAGTGCTCCAGTCTCCGCATTCCACCCTTTCACAGTCTTATCAAATGATCCTGTTACAAAGTTCATTCCATTTTCATCCCCTGATACGCTTATCACCTCTCTCTTGTGCTTCATCCTGTATTTCACCTTATTTGATTCGTAGACCAGTACATTTCCTAACTCGTCTCCTGTTACTATTTTGTCACCAACAATCTCAATACAATTCACCTGTGTATCTGATTCATTGATGTGACAAATGTATTCCAGATTAATATCGGATATTTTAACAGCCCCATCCTTGGAACTGCTTACTATGATTTTACCATTGGTTTTGATGTCTGTTATTGGCAATTTGTGTTGTAAAATATTTCTACAATTGGCTATATTATCCGAAATATCAAATATAGCAACTGTACCATCCCTAGCCCCCGATACAAATACATTTTGATCGACCTTGATCAATTTGGTGATGCCTTTTTTCTGTTTAGAAAATGACATGATGAAATCACCTGTTTTGGAATAAACTGAGATGTTTGAGTCCATTCCACCTGCCACGATGAAATCATCCAGCTCAATCAGTGCCATTATCCAGTGATTGTGTTTACGATGAATCTTGATTTGTGTTTTAGTTAGCATATCCCAAAAACGTACTGTTTTATCAGCACCAGCTGTAACAAGTGTTCTACCGTCTTTGGTGATGACAAGTGTAAGAACAGGACCGCTATGACCTGAAATGACACTGCTACAATATGCCGACGGTGCTGATCCACTCTTAGCTACTACTTTGATTATTTTGATTGATTCGATATCAGTATCGCCCTTGAGTGTCTTTTGTAGCGTATCAACGATCATGCTGCCATTGATGTAGAGGGAAACGCCTTTATTAAGATTAAACAGTGTTTTAAGCTGGTTGCTATCTATGCTATCTGGTACTTGAAGCACATCACTGAGTTTATTTTCATCTTCGAATTTAACAAGATACTGCATGGTGTGGTCTACAAAATTTTACTAAATAGAGGTGCATTGGTTATATTCATAATCCTGTTTAAAATTGGGGTCATAGCTCAGTGGTAGAGCATTTGCTTTGCAAGCAAGGGGTCGCGGGTTCAATCCCTGCTGGTTCCACTTTTTATTTTACCTGATTTGGGTATTCGTGACTGTTGCACAATCCACTTTCTTTTTATTCTACTCGATTCCATCTTATAACTCTTTTTTCTGTTTTAACTGTTCAAAATCAATTGTTTAAAAATAAAGGATATCTGTCCCTTAAATGCCAGAGCAGAATGTCGGACCCAATAAGGACAACCAGGTGATCTTACAGATCTTCCTGGTGATAATGTTTTTGCTTATGATAGCGTATGTCATCGTTAAAATATACATCAAAAAGGTGATAAAATACAACAGAGACAAAGTGGACATAGAGCATGTTCTGGATCTACCAGACGCGGAGAAACTGTTCTACAAGAACAAGGAGTTCCCACCACAATACAACAAGTACATAACGCAACAGATAAACACATTATCAGAAATCAACCCAAAAATAAAAGACAAAAAGATTGCCATAAAAATACGTGAAAATGACGATTTCAAGGTAAGCAGAGATGATATCAACAGCATGCTGATTCGCAAAGATATTCCAGCAGATAACAGCTGTGGATTCCATGCATTCTTGAGCCTATTTTTTAGGTACCTGAAACCTAACGGATCCACTGTCTTCAAAGTGCTCTTCTCATACGAATACTTTAAGTACTGCGTGAACTACAAAATATTCATATACTGGAGAAACAAGGCAATAGACGTCGTAAGATACAACGATACGTACGAGAGTTGCACACAAAGAGAACAGTATTTGCTCGTATTCTACATTCGACTATTTGTGTCTGCTGTTCTGTACAACAAGCAGAAGAAGCTCATTCCAATACAGAAAGACAGGTTATTCAAGAACATATTCAAGTATGCGGTGAATTTGGACGAATGGATGGATCAACAGTGTTTGGGTGCACTAGCAAAAGGACTAAATATCAAAATCAACGTATTCGACAACAACAGCAACAATCCGTACACAACTACGTTTGATTTCACCAAAAACAAGGCAAAGATATCTCTGTACCTGATATTAGCGAATAACCACTGGGAACCGGTTGAAATGGTCGAAGATAAACCTGAGGAATAAATAACGATGGAATTCGTTTGTTTTTAAGCTTAAAATGTATATAAAGGCATAGCTGCGTTTATGCATGTTCTACAAGAAATTTTATAACAAAAAACAATCTAAGAGACCTAATATAGGAAAGGGTAGTCTAATTGATAGCATGGAATGTGTATCTAATGATGTGACTTGTTTAACTAACAAGTTACGGAATATCACCAACATCAATCCTGAAAATTGTAGTTTCAAATCATTGCCTCTGTCCAATGCATCAAACATAAAAACAGATAACATAATACCACTGGAAACAGTATATGACAGACAGAATACTGAGATCAAAGTAGAACCAGAGGATCAAATGAATGTAGAATACTATGTAAGCGTACTCAGAAATATTCCAGGTTTTATTGAGAATATAGACGTAGAGCACAAAAGTGTTCTCAAAAAGTACAAAAATACAGCAAATGAGTTTAATTTGCAATTAAAACACATCAATCTACTCAAAACAAACATAGAAAAATACCAGAAGCGGATTGCAGAATTAGAAAATGTGAATTGTGCAACAAGTCACAAAATAAACCTGATGGAGCATGAATTAGATACACTAAGAATATACAAGAACGAAATAGATCCATATGTAACACTACTAAAAACAACTGTGGAACATAAGACTAATGAAAACAAAAGAATCACCACTGAATTAACACAATCAAAAACAAAGACAAATAAGCTAATTGTTGAAAACAACATGCACAAAGATGATAAACATACTATAGCAACTATCAAAAACAACAATTATATGATCAAAACACAAATCGGTCAACTCTTAGAAGATATTGAACCTGATTTTAATAAAGTAAAAGAAATGATAAAACAAACAATGGTAAAAGAGAAGAAGCGAAAAACTGATAATCAAAGCAGAAAACAGAAATTCAAATCGATTTATAACAATCTGATTAGCAATATTGATTACATCACAACAGAATTCAATCAGGTTAAATACGCAATCAATATGTATGGAAAAACTATAAGAGAAGAGAACAATAAGAACAACATAACACTAAAAGACAGAATAAAAGAATTAGAACGAAAATACAAGAACAAACTGAATGAAGTATCAAAAAGAAATAGAAAAATACGAAAATTCAATGAAAAGGGAATATATGCGATTTCAACTGTAAAACAAGAAATAAGTAATTTATCCAGCACAATACGTCACATTATTAGTCAAATAAGTAATATTGATTCATCTGTTATTCATAACAGGTATAAAACACAAATCAGGGAGATTGAACAGAAACACCAAAATGAAATCAACTCATTTATAGAACAAAGAAGGCAATTTGAAGCACAGAAAAAGATATATGAGCGCACTATAAGAGAGTTGGTAGAGAAGTCGAAAACTGAAGATGAAAAACACCTGTATATTTGAAATGGAAATACCCCATAATTATGCTCAGTAATTTCCAGAAATTGGTAAAAGATACACAGAATCTTTTAGAGCAGAACAAACAGAAACAGAATGATGAAATTGAATTCAGAATTCAGAGCAACCTGAAAGCACTCAAAATACTGGCAACAAAAATAGAAGACGATGGAGTTAGAAATGAAGCACTAAAAACACTATCTGGCTTGGGATATAATGAAACAAGTAACGTAAATAGAGCATTTAGAAATAGAATCAACTCCAAGATAAACAACAAGGTGGAAGAAATCAAATCAAACATTGACGACCTGGTAGAAGAAGAAATGTACCAAAATAGCAAAAAACTACAGGAAATGACCAACAAATTCAACCAAACACTCTCATATGATAAGAAAGCATTAGAACAAACACTTAATGTGTTTGACAAAAACACCAAGGAATCTAAGAGTGCCACCAAGGCCATCATAGAAAATGACAGCTTTAGTTCATTTGGATATTTTACTAGCACACTCTTCATTCTACTAATAATGTGGATTATTATTGGATGGTTATAGAATAAAATGTTGATCATCAGGATGTTTAAAAATTGTTGTAATCCAAGAAATCAAACATTATAGCTAAGGGTTTATTTTAAAAGTTCTCTAATCCTCAACATCCCCCCCAAGATTAAGCCTTATCTTCTTTCTTGAATTGTTGGATTGTTGCTCTGCAATTTCTACGAATGTGCCCCTCTTTACCACATCCGTAACACCTGATCATTCTTCTCCTTCCTGTGATCTGTCCTCTCATCTTCGCTCTTACTACCATATCCTGTATCGATATCGAATTCTTCAGTTCCAATGCCAGATCTACTCTACTGGGCCAGCATAACGTTGCTAGCAAGTTCACTGTTTCTCTCTCACCCAATTTGTACTTATCCAGTTTCCTGATCATTCTTTCCAAGTATTCCGTCGGCATTTCCGTGCCCATCCTGGGCTCTGCTACTTCTGTTGCTAATTGATTTACTGCCATCCTCTGTTCCTTGATTAATGTCTCTGTCTGCGACATTAAGTTCGTGAAGTTCCCTACATCCTTCTCGTTCATCCATTGCAGTACCTCTTCCTCTGCATTCCTTATAACCAGTGCATATTTCGCTGCCGCTGGTGTTTCTAACGTGTTGATCATCCGTACTGTTGTCTGTAAGTTCGTCATTGTTATCCTTGTCGTCATTCCTGCTGCCTCTGTCCTCGTGTTCCTCTCCTCTGATTGTGGTGCTGTCATTCTGGGTAAAATTTTCCTTTCTTGCTATTTGTGTATGGCATTTCTTCTTCACTTTTCCTGAGTCCTTTTCTCTTACTAAATACGTGTCATTCTCCATCTTTCTTTCCACCATACCTTCTTTGATACATTTTGGACCTATCTTACTGTTCATTTCCATCTCTGTTCTTCTAATGTAAATCTCCTGTCCTTCCTTGAATTTTTCTCGTCGCTTCTCCTTAAATTCTCTAGCATATCTTCCTGTTCTCTTATTGCTAGTTTTCAACTGCTCGCTCTCTGGCCATTTCCATGCTTCCTCGGCCGTCATTCCAATGCATCTTCTATACATCTGATTTTTTCCTGTTACAAAATCCTCTATTAATTCTTGTACGTTTCTCTCTTTTCCTTCTTCCGTATTCTTTCTTAAATACTCATTCCAATCTCTGTGCATTCTCTCTATCCTTCCATTTCCTTGGTGATGTTCTGGTGTCACCATATGATGCTCTATTCCATTCATTGACAGTACTCTTTGTAATGTCCTATTTGCAAACTCCTTCCCTGCGTCTGTCACTATCTTTTCCGGTTTCAAACCTCTTCCTATAAACCGTTCAATCTTCCTTACCACTTCCTCTTCCGTTTTTGTCTCCAATCTCTCCATCCATATCTTTCGTGTGTAATAATCCAATATGGATAATATCGGTGTAGTCTGGTCTATGTATACCAAATCCATTGCCACTAACTGCATTGGTCTCTCTACTTCTACAAATTTCTCTCCTCCCTTCTTCTTTGTCGGGTTCCTTCTACATTTTTCACATCCTTGTATCACTTGTTCTATGATCTTCTTCAAATCCTTCCATTCATACATTCTTCCTAGCTTGTATTCCATCGCTTTTCTACCTTTATGTAGTCCTTTTGATTCATGTTCTTCCTTGACTATCTCCATTCTTTCCGCTCTTTCCGCTTCATTTGTTTCCTCTGTGTACATCCTACTTAGCGCATCCGGCTTAAACATCTCTTTCCCTTGTCTGTATTCCACTGTAAAGTTATACGTTTGTAGCCTATCTCTTATTCTTTCCAATTTGTTTGTTCCTAGTGCATCTTTGTTTTCAAAGTATTCTATTGCTTTGTGGTCTGTTCTCAATGTAAATTTGCTTCCTCCTATATAATATTTGAAGTGCTCTATTCCAAATGCTACTGCTAGGTATTCTTTTTCCGTAATACCCGCCTTCCTTTCTGCTTCCGAAAACTTCTTTGATCCCCATGCTACTATTCGTTCTTCTCCTGCTTCATCTTCTTGTAGCAGGACTGCTCCCATTGCTAAATCCGCTGCATCTGTCTCGATTATGAATTCCTTCTTATGATCTGGTAAGAACGTTACCGTTCTTTTCCTACATTCTCTCATTATCTCTGTGTATGCTTTTTTCTGTTCTTCCTCCCATATGAATCTTCTTCCTTTCTTCAATAACTCGTATATCGGTGCTGCCTTATCTGCGAAACCTTGTATGTATCTCGTATATACATTCGCAAACTGCAAGAAACTCTGTAGCTGTATCTTATTCTTTGGTTCTTCATATCGTAATGCTTTCTTTTGTCTCGCATTATCTGGTTCTTGTGTTCTCCCTGTGATGTAACTCCCTAATAATTTAACCGTTTTCTGTCTGAATTGTACTTTTTCCTTGTTCAGCGTCAGTCCGTTTTCCTTCAACCTTTTCAATACTTGTCGTATATTCCTATCATGCGTTTCTTTGTCCTCTCCAAATACCACAATGTCATCTAGATATGTTCTGCAACACTTATTCAATTCTTCTCTTAATATGCCATCCATCACCCTTTGAAATATCGCTGATGAATTCTTAAATCCTTGTGGCATCACATTCCATTCGTATAACTTATTTCCCACATAAAATGCTGTCTTATGTCTATCCTCTTCTCTCAATTCTATCTGAAAATATGCATCTTTCAAATCTAACACTGTGAAATATTCCATTCCCTGTGCTGCCTCGATCACTTCTTGCATCCTTGGTAAACTGTATCTGTCATTTGCCACTATCTTGTTCAAAAAATATAGATTCAGTGTCAATCTAATCTTTCCATTTGGCTTCCATACTGGTCTAATCGGGTTGAACCAGCTTGATCTCGATCTTCTCACTAATCCTTTACTCTCCAATTCCTCCACTTTTTCTTCTACCGCTTTCATCGTTTTGTATTCCCATCTCCTTCCTTTCATTGTTATTCGCTTCCCTGGTATTGTTTCTATTTCTGCTACCACTCCTTTTACCTTTCCTGTCGCTTCTTCTCCTAGTATCTGTTTATATTCCTGATTCAGTTCTCTCCATGCTTTCCCATTTTCTTCCATTTCTCCTAGGGTGTCTTTTCCTATCAAAATTCTCATTCCTGGTGCCTCCACTATCCTGAATCTGTCTGTTCTGTCTGTATCACCTGCCTTGTATGTTATCCATATCTCCTTTGTTAGTTTATATTTCGTTCCGAAAATGTTTTCTACTATCTGTTCTTCTGTCTCGTATCCTTCCATTCCTATCTCCTTGACTGCTTCCTCTGTAATTACATTTATATCTGCTCCTGTATATCTTATAATTTCCATTGTCGTTCCTTCTACCTTTATCTCTTCTTTTCTTCTTTTCTCTGTCTTCTCAACATGATTTATTTCTACTTTGTTCTGTTTCTCCTTCTTCTTCCTTTCCTTTATCCGTCTCTCTGCTCCTTCTATGTTCTTCCTCTTCTCTTCCTTCATCTTCCTTCTGTCTCTGTTCCTCAACTCCTCTATCTTGCCTATTACGTCCAATTATTCTATCTTAAGCACGTTCTTCACTCTTTCAGATGTTTCTATCTTCAACTTATTTCTAATGTGCCAAATCAGGGCTTGCGTGCCCACCTGTAAAAATTTTTGCAAAGTTGCAATTCTTCGTATCACTTCCTCTGTTTCCTCTGTCTCTCCTTGTTCCGGAAACATCTGTATTCTTTCCAGTATATTTACTGTTCTTCTCATGTTGCAGTTGATTTTGAACTCTTCCCATGTCGTCGTTCTGTCTATATCTCGCATTTCTCTATAGAAATTCGGTCCTCCTTCTATCAGGGTCTTTGCTATTCTCATGCTGTCATTCTTCTTCTTAGTTTTTGGGTGTTTATCTTCCATTTCCATCCAAAAATACTCCAAATCTCTCGATCTTTGAGTGGGTGCCATGTTGTAATCCAAGAAATCAAACATTATAGCTAAGGGTTTATTTTAAAAGTTCTCTAATCCTCAACAAAAATAAATATTTTTGCAGCCCTGTTTCCAGAGAGTGTGTCGCTTTAATAAGCATCACATAGTTAGAAAACCAACAACCACTTTTTAATGAATGATTTTATATCATATAGGCTACTATTCAATGATATTACAACATCACATACTTCTTTCATCCTTTAAAAATCTGTTACTTTTTTTACCCCACAATTTGTCAGGCTGTCTATTCATATTGATTTGCTGTTACAATTGTGAAATACTCATGTACTACAACTTATTTCAATAGTAGTACAACACATTTTACTCAATATTATGCTATTCCACTATTCAATACTCCTTCTTCTTATCTTCTGCGTCCTTCTCTCGAATTCTGCTCCAATCTACATCGTAATTCTTCCGCCAGTATTTAACCAACAGCTGGGACTCATCATCGTCATTATTGTACACATCCACTACCGTCTTATTGTTCAAATAGAAATGTTCAGCGTAATCCTTGTTATTCATTTTAAAAGGGTTCTTTCTATGTTAATTATTACTTATATCCATTTATTTCCGTTTATCTGTTTCTTTTGTCCTGTTAAACATCTTCCTGTACAGCTTCGCTTCCAAAAAAGTGAATTTATAAAATGGCTTAATGCTCAATAGTAGCCCAGCATGCCATAAAAAGTGCGAATCCATCAAATAGAATAGCGGCGGGAAGTCACTTAACTCGAATACACCTGATATTATTATCAAATTGGTCAATGTTACTATTTTGTCCTTGATATGCTTGTTTTTGTAGTAGACTGTTGTAATCAGGTAATTCAATTGAATCAAACACAACAGTATCCCACATACTACCATATTATACTTGTAGTTGAAGTCAATATAGAGCATTCTGTATACATGATACACGTATCCAGTCACAAATATAATTCGTACTGTCTGTTTCAATACATAATAGCATTTTGGTAATTCTGTACCACTTTGTCTATTCTTTTTGTTTATACTGATCAATATCAGAATATTCCTCTGTGTTGTTACCAATGCACTCATTGCAATGGTAAATACAGCTGTAAAATAGTCCATGTTTCTGGTCAGTACTGTTTCATGAAGATGGAATAGAAATGATGATATGAATGCAAGTGACATTGCACCGTAGTGAATCAGGTAATCGACTCTGAGTGGGGATCCTCTTGATATTCGCACCAATTTCTTGTAGTAGGACAAGTTTATGATGAACTTGAGCAAAGCACATCCTGAGCTAAGTAGCTCAGTGAATCCAAGTAACGACATGAATATCCATCTTCCGTTGTACTTACAGTTATTGTACTTCAGTTGCTTGATACAGTTGTAATTACATAGTAGAACTGCCTTATCCAACTTGGTTCTATTCAATATTCTGTCTACAAAGTTGAGTTTGATTTCTTCCACTATTTCATCAACACAACCACCAGAACAGCTTACCAGACTGTTGAACTGGTCATCACTTCCTCGCATGAACAGCCTGTCAAATGGCATGAAGGGTGTTAATTTATTATTATAAATTGATTTGAGATATTCTAATGTTTTGTTTGTTTTAAAAACAGATATTCTCAATATGATGATGTGGTGTATTAGCATGAGTTAGTACAACAAACGTTAAAGGTTCTGAAATAGAATATATCAAATATTTGAGAAATTGATCACCTGAAAATATGGGTGGCATAACACACATTTAGTTAAAAACGAATTAGCAGCAACATTTTATAGGCATTGGCTACAGTTTGAAATATCTTCACTCTTTTTACACCTTATCATGTCACTGGATAACATCAAGAAATATTTTGAAGTGAGAAGATTTGCTATGGATGAAGATGACTACAGCAAGTTAATGGGATTGGTTGATGCGCTGGGTGAAGGATTGGACAAGAAAGAAGCAGATTCAAATGTGCTGAAAGATGAAGGTGATAAGTTGGTGGAAAATGGTAAATTGTTTGATGGTCTGGACAAGTATCAAAATGGATTGGAGATTTGCCCACTGAATAAGTTGATATTGTTGCATAGGGCAGGAGTATATGGTCAGATCAGTAAGAAACTGAAGAATTGTGACAACTGCATTTGTGGAGACAAACCAAAGGAAGAGGCCAAAAAGTTTGAATACAAATCATTTTATGATTTGGTAGAAGATAAGAAACTGTGCTACCACCAAAAAGTGAATTTATTCAACAAATGTGCCATCAACGATTCAATCCGAGGACTACACGTTGATCCATTTGATGCCAGGTTTTATGTTAAACTGATTGAAATCCATGAAGATGATTCCAAGGCACAGGAATATTATTTAAGAGAAGGATTGAGAATAGCACCTGAGAACGATGAGCTAATGAAGTTGAAAGAGATAATATTAAAGGAATAGTTATATTAAACAACCAGTATGATTTATTAAATGACAATTGCAGTTTAATATTACCGCAGGTATTTAGCAGTGCACTATTCAACTACCTGAATGCTCAATAGGTTGTTAGATGTTTCAATTATACTTCATCATGTTACATTATTTGTGATTTCACTGATCAGATTAAGGTTGCTTAAATGTATAATAATATCAATGCATGTGTTGATTTATGTTTTAATATGATTGTTTTGATGGTTTTTTGTTTATTTGTTAGTATTTAAGAATTTTACAACAATAAACAATGATCTTTGTAGCAACCTTTCTCAATGTCGTGCAAACTTCTTTTGATCGGATAAATGAAGCACTTGAAGGAATACAGGAACTGAGTGATTTTATTAATGAATCTCAGCAACAAAGAGGTGAGAGAGAGCCAGCAGAAAACGCCCATCAGATGTTTGGTGATATTCTTAATTCAATCGCACGTAATCAAGAACAATCTGAACGTGAATCAACAAGTGCATTGGAAGGTAGATTACATAGAGTAGGACAAGCCCGTAGACGGAGTAGATTCGGCGAAAGGTCTGGTATGAGCCACGTTGTAATCGAAAATCCAAGAGTGAGACGTGTTAGACCATATATATCACCACTTGATGAATGCAGGGAGGTTATTCGTCCCAGTACAAGTACTGCAACCAATTTGGTAAAGATGACTTGTTCAGAACCAGCAGAAATTATTGTCACTGAAGAGCCAAGACCTAAGGTTAGGAAAGTGGTCGTAGTATCAACAGCAAGAAGAGTAAGACCAGCAAGAAGAATACACGTTTCTAGCAGCAGAATCAGATTGAAGAATATCACTACACCATCAATACAAAATGGTAGGATGTCTACGACTCTTAGTATAATAGGAGATGATCTGGATAGCTTCATTGAAAATTATGAGTTTGGGGTAATATTTCTAGACCGATATAACGAAGAAATTGATTATAGACCAATTGAACCATCAACATACGGACAAAATCCAAAACAGTTCAAAGTGGTTATGAAGATGTTAGAAGGTACCACCAAGATCACTTTTATAGCAAGGTGTTTAACAAACGATTATTCAGATCAATATTACACAAGCTATAAGTACGATCACGTCAAAAAGAGGTTCATGTTGGCGTAAGTATGAAATATCAAGCAAATAACCACCTTATGTAAATAGTTTAGTTTCTGGCTAGAGAGAAGAATTGTTTTTGACTGTTATTGACACGCAACTAACATGTGCCTGAAAATACCTTGCTTCAACCAGCAGAAAGTACCCATCGTGTTCGTCTTGTTTAGTTAGTAATTGATAGGAGTGACAGCTTTAGTGATCTTACGAATAGTCCCTTACACCTACCCAACATGAATAAATGAGAAATAATAAAATATGAATATTTTTCAGGTTTGATAAATTAAATCATACTTGTATTTTATAGTAGTAACATCATAAATTCTCTTGTCACCTTCTAAAGTGTTCTAGAAATTGATCATCCTGTCATTCTTCAATGATCCATGTACATCTCCTGTTCAATTGGTGTTAATTGATCTTCTTCTATTTTCCAATTGATATTTTTGTTTGTTTGTGATCATATTTAAATATAAACAAAAATTCCAACAAACATATGCTGGTTTTTGTAACATTGATCAACCTGATACTAACAGCAGCTGGGTCTATAGAAGAACGCAGATCATCTAGAATACGAAAAAGAGAACAAGAGCGTTCAAAGGCAGAAGAAGCATCTGGTGTAGATGAACCAAAAGCAAAGAAACCAAGACAGAAAAGAACACAAAAAAAGGCTGAAGTGCCAAAGAAAGCACTAAAAAAGACACCAAAGAAAGCAGCAGAAAAGGTGCCTGAAATCACATTTGTTGCACATCCAATCATTGTTAGTGGGAAAATTGATATGCGAGTCTCCCTCGACACTGAAGATGTGGAAGAATTCCTTGATAAAAACGAAATTGGAATACTGTTGATGGATGAAAATTCTGATGAAATCAATTATGTTCCAGCTGTAAAAGAAAGAGTACTAAGAAACTCGAAATCCATTCGCTTGTCCCTCGATAATATCGATCTGACAAGTTTCACTAGCCTATGTGTTGCGATAAAGAACAAGGAAGATGGTAGCTACCTAAAACCATTGAAACATTCAGGTACAGCACTAATTCAGGTTGTATGATTCGTATTGAACAAGAAATAGCTGATCAATAAAATGAAGAATATAAAGTAGTTTGCTACACCAATGTTTCACTAAATTCGTATTTGTTTCTCACCAATATTCTTTAATTACCTTCCTACCCACAAAATCAGTTTATTTTGTTGTTTTACATTCCACGGTTATAAACAATGCTCTTCATTTCACACCTAGTTCATTTCATAGAATGCGCTACAAACAACGGCAATAGACCACTACAGCTAACTCAACAGCAGAGGCAAGATAGACCGAACAGAAGTAGGAATTATCAAGCTCAACTAGAATCAAGAAATGTGGTGCCTATAACCAGTGAGAACACCAAATTGCTATTCAACAGTAATCCGATTCTAATGGGTGACAGTTTGAAATGTCGCCTGACAATTGTGACACCTGACATCCACCAATTTAATAAGGATTATACCACAAGTATAGTATTCCTGAATGAATTAGGCAATCAGATTCAATTTAACCCAATTGCACCAGAACTATTCATACCAGATCCATCCTACTTTGAATTTAGGTCGAAAGCCCCTGAATTTTTCAATTCAATCATATTTGTAGCAAAAAGTAGAAATATGAACAGATCAGACATCCAATCACCACAATACAAGTACAAATCAGATGAAAATTACTTCGTTGCAATGGAATAAACAAACATTTCATTTTGCAACAATCTAAGCATCAAATAACCTGAATTGGTTACGATTTAATGTGCTCGTTTAAATCAGTGATCAAGTTGTTTGTCGTCTATAAACAATCAATCACACAAACAACCCATGCTTATTCTTGCAACACTGATCAACATCGTGATGTCTTCCTCTGGTGAAGAGTCTCCCAATCCTGGAGCAAATCCTGTGGTTGTAGTTGTTGGTGATCCATCAAGAATAGAAGTAGCCAAGCTGGTACAAAACCTTACCAAAAGAGAGAGTACCTCACGTATACTAAGAGCACGGACTACGCCATACAGTAGAACTACACGAAGAACAACAGCTGTTTCTTCTACTCCAAAATTGCACAATTATACGGCACCAGTCCTATCAAATAACGCAATAACCATACATCTCAAAATTGAAACAAGTGATATCACCGCATTTAATACCGAATACACACCAATCATACTATTCATGGATTCAAATGGACATGAACAGTCTCATGTTGTGATAACCCCTGACATGTATGAGGATGATCACAACTCGTTTAAAATTGAAATTGATGTCCCTGATCATTCACTAGAAAGGGTATCTTTTGTAGGAAGGAATAAGGTAACAAAAAAGTACGAGTTGTGGTCGAGTGGATACAAATTCAATTCAACAACTAAAGTCTTCGAATACACTCCATGAGAATAAATCAGTGTAAATAATATACCACTAACTACCCCTTCATTCACCAACTATTATTTCAACATCTTCATTGGTTCCCTTATTGATCTGTTTTCCAACAATCACTGATTCACTGACTCCTCGTATTAAATCAGTTCTTGATTCAACTGCTGCTCCAAACAGGAAGTCTGCTGTCTGCTCAAATGACGCAAGCATCAACGTGCTATTCTTTGCATTCTTCATCCCAAACCTGGTTATTCCAAGAAGGGCACCACGAACAGTCATTGCGTCACTGAGCAGTTGCAAATGCCTCTGATCTATTTTGATCCCATGTGATTCCATCGTCTGCTCTATTTCAGCAATGATTGATTCACGAGCTGCCTCAATTCCAAGAACGCCCTCAATTTCAACCACGTTGTTTGTTTTGATCGTGGAATAGTCCAATTCGAGGGAGGCAGCAATGCTCAGAATGTTCAGGAACTCACCAACACCAGCATTCACCAGAAGAGCAAAGAGACCAGTCGTGCTCTCTGCTTCGACAAAGAAGCCGTTGCACTCCTTCAGCCCAGCCACCTGGGCATTCATCAAGTCGTCTCTCAGCTTATTCTCCCTAAAATCACTGTACCTGTGTTTTACGGTGTATTTTCTCTCACTGTTTCTGGTGATGTTCAGCCTCTCAGCCACCCTCTCATCAATTGCCTCACTTGTCTCCATCTCAATCACACTAACTACCCTGTCTTTCACTATTCTGAATTCCCTTCTCATTTCCACCAGAATGTCCCTCATCCTCTTCTTCTGAATCACTGCCCTTAGTTTTGATACGGCCTCTTCTGTCAGACTGCCCAGTCTCACAACAGGGGTGCTGATGCAATGGGTTCCATTGATGATCTCCTTCAGTCTCGGAACTCCCTGTGTGATATTCATCGATGCTACCCCAGCAAAGTGGAATGTCTTTAGGGTCATCTGCGTCCCTGGTTCCCCTATCGACTGCGCCGACATCGCCCCAACACAGCTCCCTGGTTCAATCCCCAGGTCGGCATCTTTTTTCCCATTCTGCCTATTCCACTTCAGTGGATCCACCCCATCTCCACCGTACGCAAATTGCACTATTTCACCGTGACTGTTTCTCACTGTCCCATCGTATTTCACACTCAGATCCTCCAATGCCTTCATCAGCCTCCTCTGCATGTACCCCGTCTCAGCCGTCTTCACTGCCGTATCAACCAGCCCCTCTCTCCCACTCACCGTGTGAAAGAAGAACTCATTTGCCCTTAATCCACTGAAAAATGAGTTATAGACAAATCCCCTATAAAATATGTCATTTTCAATCGACTCATCCGTCTTGGTCTCTTTCCTCTCTTCCACCATGTGGGGCAGTGTTCTACCATCCATTCCATTTCGTATTCTCTCACCAGAAACAACCTGCTGTCCCACACATGCAACCATCTGACTCACGTTGATTCTGCTTCCCTTGCTCCCACACTCAGCCATCACCACGGCTGAGTTGCTGCGACTCAGATTCATCAGGCAGACTGTTCCACACTCCTCTCGTATCCGATTCAGGCTGCTTGTGATCTCCATCTCGTCCACTACGTCAAACAGCCTCTTTTTGGTTCTATCAAATATTTCCTCCTTCTTCTCCCTGACTGCCTCGTTCATGAATACGTCATCCAGGCCAATGCTGAATCCACGTTCCATCAGAAAGCGGGAGCTGATTCGAGAGAGGTCGTTGATGAATCTGATGCACGCCTCCCTCGATATCTCGAGCAATCTGCACACTACAGATCCCTTTCTGTTTTCTGCCCCAATAATCGCCTTATCCAATTCGCCCATGATGAATTTGCCACCCCAAAATAGAACTCGATTCAGCCCCCTGTTTTTGGTATCCAAATTCAGCCTGGTTTCAGACCCAACCAAAATCAGGTCCAACATGGCCTGAATCACCTGCTTTCCGCTGTACAATGAAACTGCCCCCATTCTGATCACTGGCTCCACTTCCATTCGCCCAACAATCTCCAGATTTGCCACCAGCCCATAGAAGTCGCTCTTGTTGAGAAACCTGTCTTTCTTGGTCATCAAATACGCCCCAGTGATGAAGTCCTGGGTCGGCGAGACCAGTGGCTCGTTGTTTCTGATTGTGCAGATGTTCCGTCGCACACTCATCAGCTCGGCCGCCTCTGCCTGCGCCTCCTTCGTCTGTGGAACGTGAATGTTCATTTCGTCTCCATCAAAATCGGCGTTGTACGGGTTGCAGACGCACTCGTTGAATCGAAGTGTCTTGTGGTCTCCAACTCGAACTCGATGGGCCATGATGCTCATTCGGTGGAGAGACGGCTGCCTGTTGAACAGAACGACGTCTCCGTCCCTGAGGTGCCTCTCAACGGTGTCACCCACTTTCAGTCGCCTGTTTTTCGCATACTTCAGAAACACCCTGATTTGCTTCCTGTTTCCCTCCTTCTCCACCTCTCTCACGACGTAGTTGGCGCCTTCGAGCACCCCTGGCCCGTTTTCAACCAGTTTCTCAAGTCGCCCCTTGTTCAACGAGGTGACCTTCTCTGGCACCGTCATTTCCAGTGCCATTTCAAGGGGCATCCCAACCTCCTCCACCGACAGATTCGGATCGGGTGAAATCACCGTCCTCCCAGAGAAGTCGACTCGTTTCCCACTCAGATTCATCCTGAACCTGCCTCCTTTTCCCTTGATTCGATTCACAAGCGACTTGATTCCAGTCGAATTCGGAACACTCACCCCAGGCAGGTCTGAGTTGATGTAGAGCGCAACCTGCAGCTGGACGTAGTCCCAGTCGTCGTTCAGCGTCTGCATCCTCACCCCTCGCCTCATCCCGTCCTCCAGCAGACCGTTGCTGTTGATTATTTCGGATATTTTCACTGTCAAATCGTCCTCATTAAATCCATCTTTATGCATATCAACACTGGGGCGAATGCAACTTGGTGGAACCAGGAGACTTCGGACCAGGAGATTCGTTGGCCTCGTTCTGAGATTCAGCAGCACCAGCTCCTCCTCCTTCGTGTTCTCGAAGATGTTCAGGACGGCCAGTGGATTCAGCTCGTGCTCCACCACGTTCCCCTGGTCCCTGGTCCCAGCCCTGGTCTCCTCGTACACCCTGAATTGCCCATTCTTCTTCACTGTTCCAGTCGCACCCTTGCACTGGTAGCAGTGTTTCGCCTTCTTGCATTCTGCCCTGATTCTCTCAAGGAGCCTCTTTCTCTCTGGGTCTCCTTCCCTGATTTGGCCTATTTTGATTAGAAAGGTCGTTTTCTGTGAATTGGTCAGCAGTATCGAACTGCACTTCGTACAGATGCAGTTGAGGACAGAGAGCACCTGTTTGATCAGGCAGATGTGGAAGACAGGGAGACAGAGGCTGACTCGGCCCCAGTGGCCAGGACACTCCTGTAGGCCGGCTCCACACGTCTCACAGAGGGCGTCTCCCGTGCTCACGCCCAGTCTCAGGTCGAGTGGCCCCCCTGGAAACGGCTTCCTGGTCTCCATGTCGTGGATTGTCTTGTTCGTTATTTCAGCAATGCTCAGGCTGTTTATTTCGTCCTCGTTGAGGAGTCGGAACTCAATTTTATCAACCTCAAACATAGGCAAAAAAGTAGTGAAATTGGTAAAACAGGAAATCACCTGTTTAGACCCCACTTTGGTCTTCCGTGCTTGATTCTACGCTGTTTGGTGCCGTGATTCTCACAACCCTGTTGAACTTGGATTCAGCCTCCTTGGAGTAGTGGCCTGTTATCAGAATGCACTTGTCCTTATTGACTCGGAATATTTCATCCAAATAAATTTCATCTGGATCATCAAAGAGGAGTATTTCCCTATTTTCTGCCAGGTAGAGTGCTCGTAACAGGCTGATTGCACTCTTCGTGTCGTAATCAACCCTGTTGTTCGTGAACACCCTATTGCTCCTGATGTGATCAGAAAGAATTTCATTCAGCCTATCGTACTTAGCAACTACCTCAAGGACACGCATCTTCTCAGACAGAGGCAGAAACAGGTTGTCTAAGACAGTTCCATTCAGAATCAGTGGATCCTGCTCCAAGTACGAGATCACGGAATAGAACTCGTCGTAAGTCAGAAATATCGTGGCCGTGATTTCCGAATCGAGATTCTCAAGAAACACCTGCGACTTGTAGTCGTTCAACAAGTAGACGAAAAACTTGGTCTTCCCAACGCCATTGGTTCCGCCTATGAGGATCTTCTCGCCCTTTGATCCGGATATTCTTTGGATGCGTCTGTTCAGCTCGACTTCGAGGATGACTCGGTAGTTATTGGGCAGTTTGTAGAGAGCACGTGGCTCATTTGACGTCTCCTTCAACAGAAACGTGTTTCTATCGTAGTTATTGAAGATCATTGATTGGGGTTAAAGAGGGTGGAATTGAAAGTAGAATTTATGTGACAGTATTTTGTGCATAAACATAGAATTCCTTCCCAAAAAGGTGGCCCCTGGACAGTTCCAGGCTGTTGTACGTTTCAAGAAGGGCCTTGGTGCAGCTGTACAGCGACAGAACAGTGGCACAGACCTCGTAGTCACTGGCTACCTGCGACTTGAGCAGCAGGTACGCAACTGAAAAGGATACACAGGCAATTATTGCTGAAAATAGGCTATGATTGACGTAAATGAGTCTATTGCTGTTATTGTTCCACTTCAGTGCCACTGTGAAGTCGTCGTCATTGTTGAAGAGGCTATGGGTCTCAATGATGTTGCATACGTTCCGATTGTAGTTCACAATCGTCAGAGAGGCTATTGCGTACTCTTTTCTGTCTATTTTGGTATATGAAATTGTCTTAAATAGCGAATAAATTCCAAATGGCAAATCGTACAAGAAAGCAGCTGAGGCTGCTTCAAGCGTGTCTGAGTGCCGATACGTCAACGAGTAGATGTCTGCGGCTGTCATGTGCGTGAATGGGCTTCTTTTTGCCTTTTTTGTATCCAATGCAATGTTCTGGAAGAAGTAGAACTGTAGGACACTTCCAATGTGGTCGGCGTAGATTGGCTTCATGATATTGGCCAATGACTGCGTCAGAAGAGACGTCACCTTCAGAATGAGCATTTTGTTGCAATTTCCGGTTGTTGAAGAAGCAAATAATTTCTGTTCGTAGTGTTCTAGNGGCAAATCGTACAAGAAAGCAGCTGAGGCTGCTTCAAGCGTGTCTGAGTGCCGATACGTCAACGAGTAGATGTCTGCGGCTGTCATGTGCGTGAATGGGCTTCTTTTTGCCTTTTTTGTATCCAATGCAATGTTCTGGAAGAAGTAGAACTGTAGGACACTTCCAATGTGGTCGGCGTAGATTGGCTTCATGATATTGGCCAATGACTGCGTCAGAAGAGACGTCACCTTCAGAATGAGCATTTTGTTGCAATTTCCGGTTGTTGAAGAAGCAAATAATTTCTGTTCGTAGTGTTCTAGAAATCGAATAGCAATTTCGTTGATTACGATCAGAAGGAAGCTTGCAGCCAGAAAGAGCTGGAGCATCAGCGACTTTCTGATGAAGAAGACGATGAATCGCAGGAAGTTCATTCTGCTGAATGACGACTTGATCTTCTTGTGCACCACTGGCTTCTTGATTTTCTTCTCCTTCTTCTTGAAACGAAAGAGTTTCTTGGTTGTCGTGTTCGACGTCACTTGGTTTGAGGAACTGCTGCTGATACTGGGGGCCGCTTCTGGATCAGCCTCTTGATTCTCCGGGCTGGTGGAAAAGTTTTTTTCCATAAATATTGGGGTGAAATTAAAGAAAATCATAATAATCCTGATTAAATAGTTTGTTCATTGATGATCAAATGATATTTTAATACTAACTAGATTGTATTTTACAATAATTTACCTACTTTTTGTAATTTGGTCTTTTTTTGAATTCAGTCATCCTTGGAATCCATTCTAGGCCAAATAACGCCTTCAATTCCTCCAAATCAAGCTCCTTATAGTTCAAAATGTAGTTGACAATGTGCTCCTTATACGATCGCATGTACGATACAAACGCCTTTGCTGATAATTCAATCATTTTCCGTGGCTCCAGCTTCTCTTCAAATAGAGCAACCTGATCCATTTTGCATTCACTCACAATCAGGTTAGTGTATTTCAGCCCAATATAATTCAGGTAGTTTCTTTCATTCTCCATTACGAACAGGATGCTCTTTCCTGTTCTGCCATTTCGACCTGATCTGCCACTGCGATGAAGAATATTGGCGTGATCTTTTGGAATATCAAAATGAATCACCAAATCAACGTCCTTGAAATCAAATCCCCTTGCACTGAGATCAGTCGTAAGCAGAACGTAGTTTTCCATCTCCTTCAATTTCAAGAATATTTCATTTCTTTCCTTCTGATTCATCTTTCCATGCAACTTGTAAACAACCTGGCCCAGTGTCTCTGAAAAGAAGACGTAAAAATAGTCGACTTCTGCACAGGTGGCGTAGAATACGATCATTCTGTCGTTATTCTTCATGAAATACACACATAAGTCTATCTTCCTATGTCCAGACGCCATTACGTAGGAGATAGACAGTTTTTCAGGAATTGCCTCTTCCAGGATGACTTCTCTATAGTTTCCACTCTGTATTCCTAACTTTCGCACTGATTCTGTCACTGTTGCGGTGTAGAATTGCGTCGTTCTCTTCTTCTTTGGTATCTGACCCAGAATATTCTGAATTTGTCCTTCAAACCCCTGAGATAGCAGTTTATCAGCTTCATCCAAAACAAGCCATTTCACCCCGTTAACCGCTTTTACGTTGTTTTTGACAATCTGCCACATTCTCCCTGGTGTTCCAATCAGTACATTCGTCTCCTCCTTGATGATGCTCTCTGAATCAGATGTTCCACCTATGAATGTTTCTGATTTAATATCAAATTGATCAAATACGGATGTGATCTGCAATGCCAGTTCTCTAGTTGGAACTAGAACAACTGCTTTTATTCCGCTGATATTCTGCATATGCAACATATTCACAATTGGTAGGGTGTAACAGAGTGTCTTACCAGAACCAGTTGGTGCTTGCACTATCAAATCAATGTTGTAGTTGGTTAGTGTCTTCTCCTGTACATCTGTCATATTCGAGTATCCATTTGTCTCCAGCACTTCCTTGATCTCCTTACGGATATTTTTGAGTTCTTCAAATTTCATACGGTTTAAAAATGGAAGAAAAAAATGAGTCGCATTTTATGGCACTGACAGTTGTATTGCACAGGCTGCTTGAGAGTGGTGTTGTTCTGCTTGATGAACGACTCAGGAAAGTGAAACCGCACCAGTTGAACCAGTATCTGAGACCGCTAAACTACGAGGCAGTGAAATGGCCTGGTACGAATGAAATAATTCTGGTAGACTGTGACTTCGACAAGGAGAGGGAGAGAAAGTACGTGATTGTGCCACCTTGGACCGATTTGAAGGTGAAGGAAGTCAAGGAGGTGCTCACTCAGCTTGCCAGGGGTGAGCCTGTGAATCGAACACTTCTGAATTTCTTTACTGAAATGGGCTACGTCCAAAAAAGAGACGACAGAATTTGCCTGACAAAAAGAGCCATTTTGAATTTTGAGCAGTTTCTGCACGAAAAGAATCCAAACAGGTTCAACAGGTGCGAAGTGTGCAGACTGGTTGTAGAAAGAGGAGCCATGCACGAGTATTGCAGCAGAAAAGTGAGCAAAAGTGACCTATAACTTCATTTTATTCAGCATTTCAGATATCTTGTATAACATCATCAATTCCTCCAAGTCTGCACTATTCTCCTCCAGACTCTTCTTATTGTTGTTTATTGCCATCTTTTTCTTCAGAATCTCATTTCTGAATATCGTCATTGCTTCATTCCGTGTTCTGCCTTTTGAAAGTTCCTCAAAAAACTTGTTCATGGGGCTCGTACCCAATGATTGATTGGGTTGATTCAGCTCGCATAACTGATTTATTACTTCCTACAAATCAGATAAGTTAGAATACCCCTATGAAAAAGGATAATGTTAAGGAACAGACGAAATACCTATTTAGACTGATATTTCTTTCTATAATGGTAGGAATCGCGTACATCACCACGCTATTCATTGTCAAAAAGACATTCTTATTTATCATCGGTCTAATTATGCCCAAAGACTCAGTCGTTTCAAAATTGAATGATAACACTGTTGTAGGTGCATTTGACCCGTGGTAAAATAATACGTGTCACTTGTGAATCACTCTTATTTTTACAATTTTATCTTAGATCCTTAATCAGTTTTTCAAATTAGCCCCTTATGGATCGCAAGAGCAGGAATAAGATTGCAATCATATACACTGTTGTCATGGGACTCATCATATTGGCCATTGCTGCCGCACTTGGAATCTACTACGGCAACAACAAATCAAAGTACAATAAATTCAAAGAAGAAAAAGCAGCAAAGCCTCCTAAGAAAATCAAGTACAAATATTTCATACCAGAAGATGAAATAGAGAGAACAAACATGCTCTTCAACTTGAGAGAACTGAAACTGGAAGAGTTGGCTGACAAGTTGCAGCAGCTCGATCCAAACGAGTATCTGAAAAAGAACTTTGATAAAATCTCAAAGGAGGCTAGAGAAGTAGTCAAGACCAAGTTGAAGAACAACGAGATCCACCTGACTGGAATGGTCCTCTTCAACATCCAACTGATCTACTTCCATCTCCACGGCTACAACCTGCTTGAAACAGGCTTCTCCTACGACGATTACGCCAATAAGGGGAAATTGGACGTCCTAAGCAGGGATCCAGCACTTTGGTACATTTTCCCGTTGGACGAGAATTCGACGCTACAGCCTGAAAAACTCATCATGGAGTTCACGTACAACATGCTGTGCAAGGAAACGACGATTCTGGTCGACCACGCCGTCCCAATCTGCAGTGAATTCGAAAAAGGGCTGTCACGCCTGACTGCAGATCCAGAAGTAGGCGATGATTGGTACAACCACAAAGAATACGTCTACAACATGTTCAAGATCATACGAGTAGAGAAGTTCTTCAGGAAATTCGAGAAAGGGAATACACATCTGAACAAATACAGGACCTATTTGACAACACACCAGGAGAGGGTGTTGACAAATAATGTCTATTATAAACAGAAAGACAAAATTGCGGCTACAAAAAGCTTGGTTAAATAAATTGGGGATTTCAATAGTGCTCCTTTATATCCCCTAATGAAATTAGAGGAGAAAACTATCAAGCAAATCAAGTTCATAGCATCCACTGCTGGGATACTACTCTTGTTTGTGATGTGCATTTTAATATCGTGGTTGTTGATAAAAAAAGGTGACGGTAGAAAGGACAAACTGGCAAAGGTAGAGGATGAGATTAGACCATTTACGAGGAAGACGACGTATCGGACGAAGACGACACCAAAAGTGCCAGACGAGAAGACAATTCCAGTTCCAGGGGCATTGAAGTACAAAATGACCAAAGTAGGCAGCAAAATGAATTCAGTGAAAGAGGTGGAATTGAACTTCAAAATAAGGGAGGACGAGAAGTTCAAAGACCGAATCAGTAACGAAATACAAGAAATATCAGAATACGGGAGGAAGGCAGGAATGGGGAATGAGAGTGTGGTTGCGAAGATGTACGAGTTGAGACACGGATTTCTGGAGGAAAACTGCCTGAATATGCAGACACCTGGTGATCTGAAAATATTCAAAATAATTGATAATGATTTGATCAACATTTTGCTGAGTAGGAGACTGGACAGGTTTCCATTTCCATTTGTGGTCTACAGGGGCGACTCAGTTGAGACGTATCACGCAGGAGTGTCCAAGACGGAGTTTCTGAGATTCAAGGCAACCAGCCAGTTTGTAGAGAACGATTTGAAGAAAATTAAGGATGCAGCAATTGCAAAAATAAAGAAGATGGAAATCAAGAACCTGGAGCCAAGAGACATCAAGAGAATTCTGTTTGGATTCCACCACATGCTGCGGTCATTGAGGCAGTTTGGACAGGGAAGGATGGCAGAAGGAATGAAGAGGTCATTGGACAACATTTTGAGCAAAATAAAGAAGGAGTACGACGACCAGGACATTGTGGCGGAATACGAGGCAATTGAGAAGTCGAAGGAGCACATAAAATACAGCAGCACATTATCAGCAATAGATGAAATATTGGAAGACGGCTGAACTGAATCTGTGGGTGGGAATAAAAAGCCTTTAGTGGGGTTTGAACCCACGACCTTTTGTTTACTAAACAAATGCTCTACCACTGAGCCATAAAGGCGTACTATTTACATAGAGATCGTATAGAAGCACCANATGGCAGAAGGAATGAAGAGGTCATTGGACAACATTTTGAGCAAAATAAAGAAGGAGTACGACGACCAGGACATTGTGGCGGAATACGAGGCAATTGAGAAGTCGAAGGAGCACATAAAATACAGCAGCACATTATCAGCAATAGATGAAATATTGGAAGACGGCTGAACTGAATCTGTGGGTGGGAATAAAAAGCCTTTAGTGGGGTTTGAACCCACGACCTTTTGTTTACTAAACAAATGCTCTACCACTGAGCCATAAAGGCGTACTATTTACATAGAGATCGTATAGAAGCACCAAACAGCCTAAAACATCAACAAATAATGAAAACTGTTCTGGTTGCCACATTTGTCGTAGCAGTTGCCACGCTGCTCTTCTCTCCCGTAAACGTGATGGGCTACGTCGGCATCTTCCTGTGCTTCCTGCTGAGTGCCCTTGGAACAGCCAGGGGAATCCTTTCAATTGCCACCTACGTGAGTGGAGCATCCATCAAGGCGCCTCGAATTGGAACCAAGTCGATTCTGGGGACTGTCGTATGCGAGGCCAACTTCCTGACTGGAATCATCACGTGTGTCATGCTAAATAACACCATGAGCCACAAGCTGCCTGATAAGGCCCATTACATCTACTTCTGTTCAGGACTGTTTGTTGGAATCTGCAACTACTTCTCGTCAGTTGCCACTGGTCTCCTCTGTGCCGTGATATCGATGATGGATGCTCGAGACCCGTCGCTCTTCTACAAAATCGTAGTCCTTGAAATCATCCCAGCCAGCGTGGGCCTGGTTGGCTTCATTATGGGAATTGTCCTGAATTCAAAGGCACCCTCGTTTATGGAAGTAAACCAATGAGATTCAACTAATTTATTGTCTTCTGCAGCACAGGAAGTCCATCAGACTCTCAAAGCATCCTTTCTGTTCGACCTCCTTCTCCTTGGTCTCCTCGAACTTGCTCAGAATTTCAAGTGTCTCGCTCTTCAGCTGCAAATCAGGCGACTCGTCGTGCTGCTCTTCCGCCTTCTTCCCAGAAAATCCAGACATTTTTGCTTCTTCCTTCTCTGGCTCAATCTCCCCCTGTATCGTCTCTTCAGCCGCCTCCGCCTTTGTTTCAGTCTCTTTCTCAACCACAGCAGCCACAGCCTGCTCCACTTCCACGGCATTCTCAACTTCTACTGCATTTTCATACGCCTCCATGAACTCATTCTCCAAGTCAGAGCCCCCTACTTTTTTATCAGTCTCCTCGTTTTCGATCTTTTCGACCTCGATCGTCTTCTCCAGCTCCTCATCAGCGCATTTCAAGTCGGCCTCCTCCCACTCCTTTGCGGCATCCTCAAGGAGCTTCTCTCTTAGGAGTGTTTCAGCAGAAGTGGCCTCTGATCCAGACTCAGCAGCGCATATCGTCTCTTCTTGGACTACGGTGATCTCATCCCCGGTTATCGTCACGTCTTCCTTCTCTATGATCAGTATTTTATCGCTATTCACTCCGTTTTCAAGTCGCTTTTCTCGTCTAGTTCGTTTTCTCTCTGGCATGGGCTATTTTTCTAGTTTCCAGTTTGTTTTAGAATTCGTCTCCTGATTGTTTGTTGCAGAATGTGCTATGTTTGGGACTGTATTGGCTCAGACAGGTGGCTGATCGCACAGAATGGCCCAGTCACTTTTTCAAAAATTTGCTCATTTTTACCCTATGACAGCAGAAATTAGGAAATTTGTAGTTGATTTCGCAGAGCAGAAGAAGGACGGAATTGTGGCATCAGACGACCTGATCAGCTACCTACAGGCCGTGATGAAGGTGAGAAACAGCAAGATATTCGCAGCAAAGGAGCTGCAGTTCAAGGACAACACCACCTCAGTAGAAATAGAGTGTAAGGAGAATGCAGTCGTAAAGAAGAACATGAAGCAGTATGTGAGAAGGTTTCTTCGATACAAGAGCCTAGCAAACTACATCAAAGTCATGGGAGACGGCAGCAACAAAATCAGCCTGAATTACATAAATCCAGTTGAGGAGGATGCTGAGGAATAAATAAGCTTATTTTACATATAAAAAAGTGAGTAATTTATGCATGAAGAACTACGAATTCATTGAGAAGATTGGAAGAGGAACACATGGGACGACGTATCTGCTCAGAAACAAGAGCAGCGAGTACGTTGTGTGCAAGAGCATCCCTGACAAGTACGCCAAACACGCTGAGCGAGAGACTGCTGTTTTGAACCAAACTGGTCACCAAAGGGTGGTAAAGATGCTTGAAAACATCAAGGTTAAAAATGGCACCTACATAATTTTGGAGTACGCGAATCACGGCACTCTCGAGTCCCTGATCAGGTACTTCAAGAAGAGTGGATCGGCCATCAATAGCAGATTGATCTGGTCTGTTGCAGCCCAGGTTCTCGATGGCCTCAGACACCTCCACTCCCTGAATATCATCCACCGTGACATCAAACCAGCCAACATTCTGATCAATCAGATCAGACACAACGGATCATCGTTTCTTGAATTCAAAATAGCCGACTTCTCCCTCTCCACGCAGAAGACGGCCGTTGAAGACCGATCTGTCATTGGTACGCCCTACTACATGGCACCTGAAATCGTATCCAAACAGAAATACGATCAAAGAGTCGATGTCTGGGCACTGGGCGTGATAATCTACGAAATGCACCACAATTTGAAGCCATTTTCTGGTTCAACCAGAGACGTCCTCTACGACGAAATCCTCAACAAGGACGTGACTGCCCAGAAATCTATCAAAAATGATTCACTCGGCTCCCTCATTCGAAGGTGCCTGAGCCGAAAGCAGAGGCCGACGCCAAGGGAGCTGATCAAAGGAAGCGAGAAGCTTCGCCTGACTCTCACGACCATCGAACTCAGGCAGCGTGAAATCCAAATTGAGAAGCTCGAAACGAGACTGAAGAAGAGCAAGGTTGATCAGAGATGATCTGCTATTGCTTACTATTTATTGCTGAGTCAGCTGCTTCCCAGGCTGACTGGTGCAACAATCACATCGGTGTCACGTCTGGATTGCCCTGTGGCTGCTGCGCATCCCCAGCCCCCTGCGTTGCCAGCTTCTTGCTGATTGCGTCCTTCTGCTCCTGGATGTGGCTGTTGATCTCCTCCACTGTCAGCCCCATGAACTCCTCTGAGTTGAGCCACTTGATTTCCTGATCAATGTCGGCCTTGATTCCACTAACAACATCTGCTGGGGCAGTGCTCTTCTCGCACGCATCCTCCATCATGTACAACCACGCTTCGTGGGTGTTCTTGGCGTCTGTTCGCTGCCTGAACACCCTGTCTCCCTCTTCGTGTTCCTCTGCCACCTTCTTCATCCTCTCAATGTCATCGTCAGACAGATTCTTGCTCAGATTCTGGACGAACATCTGCTCGTTCTTCGTGTTCAGGTCCCTCGCTGTCACCTTCAGCAGGTTGTTCTCGTCCACCTCTACGCTCACCTCAATCTTGGGCTCTCCCTTCCTGGCAGGTGCAATTCCATCGAGGTTGAATTCACCCACGTTGTAGTTGTCGCACGACTTGGCCCTGTTTCCCTGCGTGATTCGAATGGTCACGGCTGTCTGGTTGTCTGCCGCTGTCGAAAACACCTGCGTCTGCTTTGCTGGAATTGGAGTCCTTGCGTGAATCAGCGGCGTGGCCTGTCCACCAAGGGTCTCTATGCACAGATGCAATGGCACTTTGTCAATGAGCAGAATGTGGCCACCCTGGTCTCCCTCTGCTGGGCAGCACGCATTTGCGTAGTATCCAGCACCGTACGCAATTGACTCGTCCGGATTCATCACGGCCACCACCTTCTTCTGCGCCGTAGGCGTAGTCTCGGTCTCCCCAAACATCCTCATCAGTGTCTGGCTCACTTTTGGTATTCTCGAGCTGCCTCCGACCATAATCACCCTATCAATCTCCTTCTTGCTGTTCTGGATCACCGAATCCAAGTTCGTGTTGCACCCCGGGTTGGCGCGTATCGTGGCCGACGCGTCCAGGACGCCGTTGTCGGTGTAAACCGAGTTGATTCTGCCGTACGAGAGCAGGACGCCCTTCACCTTCTCCTCGAGGCGGTCGAACAGCTGCTTCGACGCCCTCTCAAAGCGAGATCGACTCAGCTCGAAGTTGATTCCTCTTTCGCCCCTGTAGCAGGGCAGGTTGAACGTCACCGTCGTGTTCGAACTCAGCTGCGTCTTCACCTTGATCGCCTCCTGTCTCAGCCTGATCTCGTTCTTCTTTGCCTCAGTTGGGTCGCAGTTGTCCACCGTCTCCTGGCCAAACTTCCTCACGAACTCCTCCTTCGCCATCTTCACGATGATGTTGTCGAAGTCGCCTCCTCCGAGATAGTTGTCTCCATCAGTCGCCTTCACCTCCCCAACCGGGTTGCTCTCGTCGTAGCAGAACTCCAAGATCGACACGTCGTACGTCCCGCCCCCGAGGTCGAAGACGAGAATCCTCTCGTCCTGGTTCGGCTTCACCTGCTTGTTCTTGATCATCATCGACCCGTACGCCATTGCTGCCGCAGTTGGCTCAGCCAGCAGCACCGTCTTCACCTCGAGGCTGTTTCCATTCTCGTCCTTCTTCCTTCCAAATGCGATCTGTGACGCACCCAGCGTCCTCTGCTTCGCACCGTCGTGGAAGTACGCCGGAACAGTGATCACGATGAATGTTGGAAATGCATTCAGTCTGGTTCGTGCTGACTCGGCCATGTAGTTCAGCACCGACGCAGATATCTGGATTGGCTCGTAGATCTGCTCCTTTCCGTCGATGTTCACCACAATTCCAATGTTGTCCTCAACCTTCGTCTTGTCTGCCTCGCTCTTTCCGCCCTTGATCTCCCTGATTTTGAATGGCCAGTATTTCATCGACTTCTGGATGTCACTGTTCCAGTATCCCTTTCCAAACATCCTCTTTGCCTCGTAGACGTAGTTGTCTGGGTTCGTCTGTGCCGCCAGAATGGCATTGCTTCCTACGCTCACCTTGCCAGTCTTGCTGTCCTTTGGGAAGCAGACTATCGAGGGCGTGATTCGCTCACCATCGGAGTTGTCGATGATCTGGAGCTCACCGTGCACCATCCCAGCCATGCAGGACATCGTGGTTCCAAGGTCTATTCCAAGTGTAGTCACATTCGGTATTTTCGTAGACATTGGGTGTAAAAATTTCACAAATTTATAGCTCAGAAGTGTTCTAGAAGAAGTATTGGAAGAAATACTGTTCTAGAAGGATAATTGGATTAATAGAGATGTAGGTATATAGGTAGACTACAACTACAACTACAACTACATGTACACATTAGTAACCCATGCCAATATACGCTGCATTCTCAGTCAACATAGACAGCTTCAAAATAACAAAGGAAGCATTCATGTTAGAGAAGTACGGCTTCTTCACCAGAATAGCAATCAGAAACCTGCTTAGGGGACTTGCGTCAGACTTCACCAGGAATATCAAGCACAGTGCGTCCGAGGGCTATCTCGAGATCGAGGAGAAGCTGGAGGACGAGAAGATCGTCATTGCCACCGTCAAAGAAGGTGGTCGCAGGGTCATCGTGGTCACCGATGGGGCGTACAATGGGTCAGTCAGGTTCAAGGCAGTTCAGGAGGCAAGGAAGGTGGCGTGCAACTACGACAAGCTGGTTGATTCGTACAGAGACTGGCGCACCAAGGATCTCGGCATGCAGATTGAGCGTGAGATGAAGCAGGCGAATGAGAACGTGGTGAAGGGGCTCGAGGCCGTGCTGGAAAGGGGGCAGACACTGAATGACCTGGTTGAGAAGTCCGAGTCACTGTCAAAACAGACCAAAATGCTCTATAAAACAGCTAAGAAGCAAAACAGGTGCTGTTGACACTAATATTATTATAGTAGTAAATGATTGACACTAATATTATTATAGTAAATGATTGACACTAATATTATTCCACTAACTTGAGACAAAGCAGACTGTAATTCTTGTACTTCTCCTCATACGCCTTGATGATCTCGTTGATTGTCTCAGTTGACACATTCTCCTTCATGTAAATTGGTGCTGCTACTGTCTCATCAGTCACAACCACCCTGTCAATGGCAGGCAACTCGCTTCCAACTGGCTCAG